ATTTAATAATTATTTATTTAAAATTCTAATGATATTTTAATTAATTTTTGCAAAAATTTCAAAGAATTGATTTTGTTTATGACACTTAATTATGGCTTTTAGCATAGAAGCTTCACTTCACAGCTCTTCAGCTGTGCAGTGAAGCTTCCATAAAATTAAATTTAATTATTGTCCTTTTTAAAAATCATTAATTTATTCGAATGATCTTCATATGAATCATTATTTTGAACTCCACATTAATACCTTAAAGTTATTATTAATGAAAGATATTTGTTTCAAATACAGTAAATGAATTAGGCGATATAATGTTTCTTAATTAAGGGTAAGCAGTAGTAAATATTTTATATTATTATTCAATTTATTTAGAAAAATGATATTATATAATGTTTAGTTTATAAACTTTATTTTAAATTTGTAAATTAAAATTGAATGGCATCTGGATAAATTATCAGTATTAATTGCATAATATTCTTTTGTTTCTTGAATATGATTTGAAATAAGTAGAAATTTAAAAAAATATAAATGTATTCTAATTCCTTTATGTCACACAACAATAGTAAGTTATAAAGTTTATTGCACGTGCCAAAAAACATATACACATTTTATCAGCCCATAATTCTATAATTCCTTATATTTTTGTGATAAATATTGGCCTTAGAATAAAAATTAAATCATCAAATTTCTAACTTTTACTTTAAATTATAAAATCATTAAATTAAACATAAGAAAATAAACAAATTATTAATAATCAAAATGCGTACACGCTCTACGAAAGTGTGTGTGAGAGAGACAACATTTATTTATTTAATAAGATAATTAAATGTAAACAACATCGAATTTCATTAAATTAAACTGAATACTTTGAATAAATTTATGTAAAATAATAATTATATTTTTGAATTTAAATTCTTCGAGCAAACGATTTAAAGAAAGCAATAACTTAAGAGTAAATGTAGATGAATATAGAATAATTTCCCATATTTGAGAGAGAATCATTTGTCAAATATGGAAGATAAAAAGCCTATAAAGTTTTAATGATAACTAGTTGACAACAAGATTATCTTAACGGCTATTAGTTGAGGAAGTAAACAGAGTTAGACAACCATTGTTTCCAAAAGAAAACAAAGATAAGCCTTTGTTTCCTTATAAACGATTAATGTAAGAGGTAAAACTTTCAGTCAACTATAGTTGTTCGGTAAAATTGTGTTAGCGGCTAATCTTCTTTAAAATCTTACAGCTTTTATCTGTCTTCTAATCCGACTTAACTGCAAATTTGTAAGGACGAATTCGAAAATTATTTTCTGTTATATTTAAATTCTTTCTCTTGGTTAACTTGGATAGCAATTATCACAAAAGATAATTGTTTAATGCACAAAAGTTTACATTTCACTTTTTGGCCAGCTTATACAAAGAAATTGAATAATACTATTGATAACTTATCATTTAATTTAATGAGTTTTCAGTTTCTATTGTATAAATCCAGAGAAAATATTAACCAAAAAGACAGCGAATCCAAATAATCTGATCAAATTATTTGATTAAAATTAACTACTCCCAAGATAGAGCTTAAAATCTCATTAGATAACGGGATAAGTATATGTTGTTAGCTTAAGCGATTGGAGAATTTGTCATGTTAAGGAGATGGGTTCGATCCTCATACGACATCAAAAGCATTTATTTCAGTGTCATTTACAGTCGACCCCCTATAACAGTGTTGATTATTCCGTTTTATACGAATTTCATGTTGTACAGTACGAGTCACTTAGATTTTACAAATACGTGTGCCGGGCTGTGAACGGCTTACGTATTTGTAAAATCTAAGTGACTCGTACAACATGGAATTCGTATAAAACAGAACAATCAACAGTGTTATAGAGGGTCGACTGTATATAGATGAGATTTATACATCCAAACTTATAAGAAACAAAGACAATGTAAAAATTGACAAATTTATTGTGACATCATCACAATGCCGAACTGAAATTTTTAAATCATACTTTAATTTAAACTAACCTTTTCATATCCGGTCTCGACTTTCTGTCTTACCCCTGTACATCATACTTTTCCTGATAGCAATCGAGTCATGTCGGTCATCTGTTTCTGATCTCGATTTTTATCTATCTAACTCAATTCTCGAAATTAAGGAAGGACACACAGACGTACGACAATGGAAATGCAGAGATTGAATATTTGAAAATTGAAGCTCATATTATGTTTAATAGTAAAAGTAACTGACAATATTATTTAAATAGAAATATAATAGTTCTTTTTTACAAATAAAACTTCACTTAAGGCTGTATTTTAAATTTTAAAAATATTTATAAGTCAAAATATATTTATCAAAATTCAGTCGTTTCAATTTTCACTTTCGCTATATATATTTTTTTGATAGGATTTTTACATCTTGAACCAAAATTGAAAGTTTTTGACACAGCCTATTCTTTCCGATTGAATTGCTTTTTGGTGAAGTCTACTCTATATATAATTTTTTTCCCTCCTATTCTTAAAGTTGTCATCAGGGACAAGCACACATTTGATAGAAGTTTTCAGATAAGCTGACCCTATCTTTACCGCAACAACATATAAAAAAAGTATGGTATATCGAGGTTTATACCCTCGACAAATATTTATTGCATTTTATGTAAAATAAATTAACTTTTAAACAATTTTGACCCTATTTAATTAATGCTGTTAAATTTGTAGACGCGTGAGAGTCAATTTTTAATAAAAATTATAAATTGGTGTTGTTTATTACTTATTACTATTTGGAGCTGTAATTTTTAAATTGCAGATCGACACATTGTCGTACGTCTGTCTGTCCATCTATTCTTCGTTAATCTCGAAAACGAAGTTAGATAGACGAAATTTGAGACCAGATACGGAAAGCTTATTTTATCCAAATTATTAAAAAATAAAGATAATTTTCTTCCTAGATAAAATACTTTCTTAGATCTTACCTTTTGTAAAGGATGTTCTGTTTCGGCATATTCATTAATTTGATTTAAATCTGATCACAGAGTTGTGTAGTCTTGACACCATCTGTTAAAAATAAATGTTGTGTAAGTTATTACTCCTTATTTGTTTTCGGCTAAATTAGAAAGCTGTTTCCTGTTTTTCATGAGCTTTTGATTGGCTATTTTTACACAATAAAAAATCCAGTTGAGACTTTCTCGGCAAAAATACTTATTTTTAATTAATACTAAAACACAATTAGTTCGAAGCTAAAATTGTATGGCTCTGTTACGAGATGTTATTTAAAAAATAACTTTTATATTATTAATTATTATAGAAAAAGTAAACATGGCTTAATTTTGAGAGTAGAGACGGGTTTCTGTTAGCCGTAACAGTTTCTAAAAATGTTTCAAAATGCCAATAACGAGTAAAACTTTCATTAAATCCGACCACACTCGAGATATGACCCATGGCTCACCTCCATATCCTCGATTTTTAACCATCAGAATTTAATAGTATCAATGTCCCTTATATACAAGTTACAGTGTCAAATTTCGTTTCTTTAATATCTCAGGATGGAATGAAGATAAACAAAATAGACGTCCACACACATACACACACTCCAGAGGGTCCACGTGGATAAAACCACTAAACATTGTATTTGGTTGTGGGTTCGCTCTTGTACAAAAGACTGGCCACGTAGATTTTTTCGAGTTTTCCTCACGAGATGACTTGAAACTTATTAATTCTGATCCTAATTTGTTGGCATAGCGTAGATAAATCAGATTTCATCTTTTACAAGGTGATTTAACCGAGTTTATCTTCGTTTAATCTGTTGCAATGTATGCACTAACTCTTTTATGCTCTCCATTAACAATAATTCTATTGAATATGTACATTCACGTAATGATTTCGGTATACTTTTCGATTTAAAACTTATTTTGAAGCAGCGTATTGACAATTATTAAAGATCTTGCCGTTTGAAGAGAAATTTTGTCATTTATTCTTAGTAGAAATGTTTTTAGAGCACTATTTTATGCAAATTTTCAGGGTATCCGTGGATTATATTACTTACCACTGTAAAGAACGTAGTAAAAGGCGTGTAAACCACTTAAAAAAAGACATAAAGTACTTACAGAATTACATAAAGTTTATATAATTTATGAATTAAAAAGTAATTTCTCTTCACTGATAGCGAAAGAGAGAAAGAGATGAGATTTCCGGACTTTTATTACTTGTTTTTATCGCGATTTAAGTATTTTAATGGTTTTTAACTCCTTACATGTTAATTCGCATCCAACTCTACAACAGGAGACTCTACAACGATTCCTATACTGTTTCTTTCTCTTAAATTCTACCAATCGGTCTTATTGTAAACTCTAATAGTTTTAAAAATTATTATGGCAGAGGAGAAGTCAATTTATTTTCTCACCTCTTTATCTTCTTTGTTGTATAGCCTATATATATATATATATATATTATTATTATTCTTGAGTATGTGGAGAGTGATTATCTTCTGTTTACGAAATTAAATAAATGAAATGTATATATGTATCTAATATAAAATAAAATTTTTATTTATGTAGATGAGTGTGGAGTATCTGTGGCAGCAGTGACCATCGAAATATCGGAAGCTCCCTTTGACGATGGTATTCAGACAGAAGTTAGCGCAGAATCTCCATTAGTCGATACAAATGTAAATATAAAACGATTATCTCCTGAAGACCATCAAAAACAAATCACTACTTTGGATCATAGTCTAATTTCCATACCAACAGAAGAGAGTCCCGATAAATTGGATAGTCATCAAAAGCCACAACGACCACGTGATATTCCTCACTTTTTTGTGCCCGAAGCAAATTTATCATTAACACCAGAAGCTACCCTAACCAGTGTTTCAACTGGTTCTCCGACACCTCAGGAAGTACATTCGACATTCGATGACGACGATTCAGGAACATCAACTCAGTGTCTTTTACAGACTTATCCAGAATTAGGTAATGGACAAAGCCCAGATTCTGGTTCGTGGAATGTCTCTAGTCATTCGGAAATGGCATCAGAATCGTGGCCAAGGACTACAGATACAGAAAACTACGAAGAAGACGAAGAAATTGAAGATCCTTTTTCTAATATACACTTCGCTTTTGATGAAACTAGAGGAGAAGATGTAGTAGAAACACGACAACAGATCCATTCAGTTCTTCAATCTGAAAGAACGCCTACACAAGAAAATCAGGGCAATTGGACAATCAGTGATTCAGACACATCACCAGACTGCTAGCATAAAATAAATGACAATATTTGTTGTATATAGTGTAACTAATAAGAAATAGTACGAGCACTTTTCTTTTCTTTAAACAACAACAAAAAATATATATATGAACGATGAGTTGTGGTTGTGGTTTTCTTAAATTCACAAAATCTTTAGTTTCGTGTTTACCCAAGTCTCTACAATGAGGCAATTTTTTATAACCTATAAAAGAGCATTTTTTCTGGAAAAGAATGCTTGAAATAAATACTGTAGTAGGAAATCAAAAACAAAAAAAAACAAAAACGAAAATCATATGATATCCTAGAGGCTGATATCACAAATAAAAAAAAACAATCATTCATGTTAATATCATAGAGAAATAATTCGTATTATGTAAATGATGTACGTGTTACATGTGTACACAATCTTCAAACAAATCGGTCTAGTCCATAATGTTTCTCAAATGTAAGAAAATTGAAGGATGAAGATTGGCTTCTTATATTATTATTTTTTCTTCTTTTCTTTGCTATACGCACCATCCTGAATTCCCTATGCACCGAAAAATGCATCAGATATTGTTTGCACTGTTCAACAACAAGAAAAAAAATCATTTAATTTTTTCATTGAACTAGTGACGTTATCAAGTTTTCTAAAATTATGGTTATTAGTGTATTAAAATAAATATGTTGTGCAACATAAGAAAATGAATAGTATAGTTAGATGAAAGAGTAAAAAAATTAAGATAAAGTATTGTAAAAATATAATGAAACAAGTGTTAAACACTACACTATGCAGTCTGTTGCTACATATATATATTTAAAAATAAAATAACACTTTAAAATGAATTTTTATCGATGTCTAAATGAAATAAATTCCTCGTGACATCAAAATATTTTAATAATAATAGTTTCGAGTGCCTTAGATACCAGTTTTATTGAAGTCTAATAAAAAGATGAAATTAATTATGATTAGTCATACGAAAATTCTGGTAGAAAATTGTTGAAGATCAAGAAATAAATAAAACTACCTTGCAGAAAAAATTATTAATATCAGCATGTGTTCCCATAGGTTATGCTAACGATTTCTCGTTAAATATACTGATTTCATTTGGAAATAAGCAAATTGGATGTTGATTTCCGATCCAAAGAGTCATCTTTCTTCTCTGAAAACATCAAACTATAAAGCAAGTTATCTATCAAATCGTTCATCAATTATTCAGTATGTGATGTTCACCATCTTGAAAATCATTTCTTGGGCACAAGAAAGCTTAAACATGGAATTTTCCTTTCATTTTCCGTTTTATTTCCTCACAAGCACTTAATATGCTATGATTTCCTCTTTTACATTACAAAAAATTAAATAATTATTTTAAAAAGTTATACGTTTAAGGTGATAAAATGAAACGTTAAGGTCTTTTCTGCAGAAGAAACAATTCTCTAGATTTCACAATGTAACTATTCAGCCTACGAATCAAATTACATATAGGAATTTATCATAAAATTTGACAAATATCGAACTAAACAAGTAATAAAGCTAATTCGATACTATCCATCAATTTAATATTAAATCAAGTTGAACGCCCACCTACATACACAGAAAACAATGTCAACTTAGATTATATACGTAAATTACAAGTAAATTTTAAATCAGAATCATGTTAAACTGTCTGAAAAGCTTGATTAGTTCGTTGAAATGGTGTATAAATAGTAACAACATTATCCTTAGTTGACTTTAAAGAGCTTTCAGATGGATATCCATTCACTCGTTGATCGACAAGAAGTTTAAACGCTCTATTTAACTACATTTAACGAAACCAAAGATTACGTTCTTAAATTAGTTTTGTTAATCATTTTTCTTCACACTTCCACGATTAAATCTACTTAAAAGCACGAATTAATTCAATTTTCTTAAAGTCAAATGTTAAGTGTTCTCGAGTCACCGATCATCGACCCTTCAACACTTCAACATTTATGTTTATAAAGAAGCAGTTTATATATTTTCCAAACTTTTAACACCTAGTTTATTATTTAACTTATAAACTTGTCCATAATATCCTAATAAATTTTCAAATTAATTTAATTTAAATTGATTAAAGAGTTCGATAAAACGTTTAGAATCCAAACAGGAAGTAAGGAGCGATGAAATTAAAATTTATAAAATTTCCCCCTCTTCAAGTCTTAAGAATATAATTAATAATTAAAGAGATAAAATGTTTAAAAATTAATTTTAAAATATCGATTTATATATGAATATAATGCATAATATGTTGATAATGACATATATTATGTTAATGAGGTTAATGATATTAACACGACTATAATACGTTAATATGACTGATTAATAGTACAGGAGTTTAATTGATGTAATTTGACTCGAAGACATTTCTCTCGCCAATCATCATAATGTATAATAATGAATGTGACTAAATATTTGCTTAAATAAAACTTTTAAAAATTAATGGTACTTTCACAAGTTAATTATGAATTCTAAACAGAAAACTAATTCAGGCAACAAGTAGCGTAACTTTCCCGGCAATAAAATTAAAATTGTATGTGGTTCCATCTATTATTAGATTTTATTTTATAATATAAAACGGCAAAAGCTTAATTTTGAGAGTACAGATGAGTTTTATTTTAAAAAATAGTAAAAAAAATCTAAATGCTAATAACCAGTAAAATCTTCATTAAGTCCGACTCCACTCGAGACATGACACATGGCCCCTCTATCCCCATAGCTCCCCACCGCTTTGACCTATTATCACCAAAATTTAATAGCGTAAATCCCCCTAATACACAAACCTTCCTGCAAAATTTCAGAAATTTTCGTTAAAAGACAGAGGAGTTATTAAGCTTCTAATTGTATGAACAAAATCGAAACAACCACCATATATACAGAAACCCCCTAAAATGTTTGCGAACTTAAAACGAAAGGAGATGAAACGAGCGGTTTTCAAAAATTATCGTGATATCGTCACAAAGCCAGGGTAATGTTTCATGTGTTCTCCATCTCAAATTAGTAGTATCGTGCCCCTGTATATCATACTTTTCCTGGGAAATGCAGTCATGCCAAACATCTATGTAAGCCTGCGCTGTAGAGAAAATTTTGAATTGAATCGTATATCTGTATAGAAAGGACAGACAGACGGACGACAGTGGGAATTTATAGGTCTACAATTTTTTCAAATTTCAGCCCAGAAACGGCTCTTGTTTCAGTCAAAAATTGTTCTTTATCGTAGGTATGCTGCTTTTTTGGATTCTCCCTCTCTCTTTAAGTCAATAAATTTGTCATTCTGATTGGTGAGAATATTTTACTCTAGCGAAAAAGTTCGACACATTGGACTGCCAATTCTTTAAACAAACATTCTCCGTAAACGACGTCACTAACGACGTGAAATTCGCTTCTCTTTTCGGTAGCGAATCGTGCTCAATGTGGACTAACCTTAAGATTTGTTCGTTTTAATTAGGATAGTGCGTAATTTTATCTCTACTAGACATAATTTTTATTTTTTGTGGTTACAAATACATAGAATATGCACAAAATTGTGCAGTATCCTAACAAAACGAATGCAAGTTTGTGTGTACTATTCTGACGTAAAAACATACAGTGTTCTAACCTGTAATGGCACTATTTTGATATAATATTATACACTATTCCGATTTACTTAGATATAAAAGTGTATACTACTGTGATCCACAACAGTATTTTTCAAACTGGGAAATACTCCACTGGAGATATATAGACCCCTTTATCTCAAATCCTCTCGACCTTTGACCATCAAAATTTAGCGTCATTGATCACCCTTATAAACAAACCTTCCTGCAAAAGTGCAGAAATTTTGACAAAAAACACATGAGTTATTAAGCTTCAAACGGGACGAACAAAATCGTGCCCCACACAAATTCCATACATACAGAAATAACCCCTGAATTTTTTGCGTTTCTCGGCGTTTCAAGGTGTTTAAACATGTCAAATCGGGAGGAGTAATTTTTTGCCGGNTTAATTTTTTTTTTTTTTTTTTTTTTTTTTACTTAAGTGAATCCACACCGATGCTCACCGATTAGAGAAAAATCGATTAAGATAATATCCGTAGAATTTCACTTATGACCTTTTCAATGTTTTTGAGAATATAGAATGAAACAGAGCAATGTTTGCTGATAAATTACTTATTCTTTTATACGTATATATGAACTATGTTTTAATATTTATAAAATTTCTTTAATAAAAGATTAATTCAGAGTTTGAGATAAAGAAAATGATATGATAACAACTGTTAATTTTTAAATGCTCTGTTTTAAATTATAACTTATATGTTGCTTCTTGTGTTAAGAATAGTAACATATAAATTATAATCATAAAATTTTCATGGCAGTTAAGTTATAAATATTGGGACAACTAAAAATTCAGTCATAATTCTTACAGAAAAAATATATATACATAGGAAAATAAAACTGAAATTATTTGAATTTCTCGACGTTTTAATGCTTCCTAAGTTCAAAAATGTAAAAATCTTGGAAGGGGGTCATTTTTTGACCGATGGCCTCTGTTATATATAACAGCATTTAATTTATTTTATAAATGTATTAAACTATTATTTCAATTTGTTTAAATTAAATTTAATTTATTCTAAACTCTTCATATATTGATTTAAATGTTATAAAATATATTTTTAAGTATTAAAATATTTTTTTAAATGTATGCAACATTATCACATCTTTGAATAGGATGTCAGAACCTGATGCATTTGATACACAGTATCGACAAAATCATCGCCAGATGGTTTTGGCACTACATTTTCTTCAAACATTCTAGAAATGCAGAGTTTTCTCCCCCTCCTCACCATTTTTTAATTTCCTCTCTACAAGATTATCTTCTACTCCAATAGCATTTGCTAACCTTCTCTTCGTCATATTAACTTTCGTCTTAGCATATTTTTACGAATCAATATTTTAAGAAAAAAGTTTTTTAATTATTTAAAAAATTTTCTCACGATGATATAAATAAAGCATTATATAATATATTTTTTGAATTTTAAATAAAAGAATTTTTTTAATTTAAATATCTAATCAATAATTGATTTCAAATTTATCTTATGAAAAAATCTTATGAAATTGTTCATTTAATAATAAATTTTAAGTTTTATTTGAGCTTTAATATTAATTTTCTTAATTATTATAAGTAATGGTGAAAATATTAGGTTTATATAAAATCAAAATTCAAGATTAACCAGGCGATTTCATCATGGTAGTATTTAAGGTTGTTGAGAACTTAAACTAAAACACTTAAAATGACATTCTTTATCATATAAATAACTTTAAAATAGTGAAATCTTAAATTGTTGCTTTGTATCTTGAGACTTTAAGCCAGGGATTCTCAATGGGATCGATAAAGACCCCATGGAGTCAATGGAATTTTGAAAGGAGTAGGTTGAACTCAAGGGAGTCAATTGGGGGAATCGATGAAAAAATCAGATACTTACTATGCATTTTTGAGGATTTCAGATAATTTTAAAGTAAGAATAATAAGTTTTGCACTAATTTTTGGCTCTACTGAGGACTTATTACACACTATACTCCATAGAGACAAAACTTAGTGCTCATAGATTCATATTGTAACATAAGGACAAACAAAATGCAAATCATTAATAATAACAATTATATGAGAAATTCATTAGTTGATTTAATCATTTACTTTTTATATTACCAAAAGCTTGGGTAATAACAAAAATTTTAAGGGTGTCACCTAAATAGAAAACAGTATTTTCTATTAATATATGGGTTAATTCAAGAAAATTTT